CTCCCCCTAAATCGCATCCAGTGTCATTGTTCTGAAAACTGGTAGTCAACTGTCTACAAAATTTCATTTTTTTTCTAACAGTGCAACTAAAAAAATAATATCTTATTTTAATATTTCAAAGGTCTCGAAACAAGATTTTCAAAAGTGTTTATTTGAAGCCTGATATTTTTAAGTTGAGAATTTCAAAAATCTCACGAGACTTCTTCCAGTATACGATTTAGATCACTGTTGATTTTTATCAGATTTTTTCTATATCTTTCAAATTTATCATTATATCGATTTATACTGGTGCGGCGCGGCGCTTAGAACGCAACCAACGGTGTTCGTAACTTTTCCCCGACCAACGCACTGTTAAGTATCCGAATAAATAAACATAATCTGCGGATCAATTTCGATCGAAACTTCATCGAAGATTTTTGAGTAGTAATACCCCGAGAGCTTAAAAATTATCAGGTAATTCACGATAACTTCGTTGCAAATAAATGAGGGTGTCAAGTCGAGGGGCTGGTCACTGACGAAATCACTGGACCATACGATTAAAAATCAAGGAAGAAATCATCAGAAATCACTGGAAATCAAGTAATTTCCATTTCTGGTAGTGATTTTTAATGACTTCTGGAAATCATTGAAAATCAGCAGAAATCATAAAGAAATCAGGTGATTTCAGAAATAATTAGAAATCATCGATTAAAGTGAAACCCAAATTTTTTATTCCAGCTCACTCATACGATCCCGGTTGACCTTTATGACTTCCTTACGCACATATCATTTGATTTTTAATTTATTTAAAATTGCCGTGCCAGGACCAGAATTTTTGCTGCGCGCTGCAGGAATTTTTCTCAGATTTACCGCGAAAAATTCTTGTACTCCACAGCAAATTTTCCGGTGCTGGCACAGTAGTTTTTCTGGTATTTTTTTCTCCTTGTATCACACTCATAAGGCCGTTCTAAACTCTCTGGGTCCCCGAATCTTACTCATATGTGATTATCGACAGATGCCCCACTTTGGCCCCGAAATCATGATTTTTCGACTGATTTCTTGAAATCAAGGAATCATCAGAATCTACTAGAAATCATGGAAATCACGAAAAATTTAAAGAAATCCAATTTTTATTCTTTCTAATTCTTATTGAGAAATTATTCAAGAAATCACAGGAAATCATCCCATTCTGCAAATCACTGAGCCACCCGATTGAGGAGTGACCAGCCCCTCGTGTCAAGTTTTTCAAATTAGAAAATCCCGAGCGCTTGTGCGAGGGAAACGCCCGATTAATTTTGAAGCTTGAGGGATATTTGTCGGATTATTTTTCCCACTCGGATTTTGGCCAATCAGAGTGCAGTGGACAACATTCAGGAGGTGAACTAGGCAAGATTCGAACAAATTTTGTTAATAGAATAACGCAATTTCCGTAGACTGTCAAATACAAGATTCGATCTGAAATGAGCCGAAAAAATTAAGAGCTACTGTGAAATATTCAAGTAAAAAAAATAAAGAACTCCTGGAAAATATTCAAAAGCTAGGAGGAAATAAAACTGTTGGGCAGTCTCAAATACTGCGCTGTGATTGGTTGAAATTCGATTGGGAATAATAATCACTAAAAAACGAGATATATGGATGCACCATCACTATTTGCCAGTAGGACCCCTAGTTATGAAATATTTAGTCGATATTCACAACCGAATGGCTAAATGAAAGCACTCCACGACGAATTTCTAAAAACTGTGGCATAAAACTACTCCTGACAACTCTATTCTGAGGATTTATTCCGTTAACAGAGCTTGATCTAACCGGCCTTCATTTCATACAATTCGAATATTCTTATTAAAATAAATGTATGGGTTTATCAATTCCAAACAATAATTTTGTTGAAATGAATGAAAACATCTCAAATAGAATTGTATTTGATTCAAATGCGTCATTTCTCCGAGTGCAAATATCTCAGAATCGTTAAGAGATAACAAAAATGCTGCGTCGATACTTTTTTTATGAAACGAAGTGAGACCTACATATATCTCTCTTAAGGGGAGCCTACTATGAATTTTTTAATTCGTGGGCTCTTGGAGTGAAATTTATCATGCATTACAGATCGATTATATAGGTCTAAAACCGAATAATTAGTGCAAAAAAATGGTTTATTGTTCATTCGCTCCGCAGGCGCTTGAAGTTTTAAAAATAGTCCAGGGACTCCCCAATTTTTTTGCTACAGAGACTTTTTTCTCAAAATTTAAAAAAAAGTGTACAATAGTAATTCCGAGTTAGTTTTCTGAAATTCGACTCCTATATAGCTTATTTCGTTTTTGTTATTTCAAAAATTGCACCATTCATCTAAAATAGCCAGAAAAATGATCCTCAAAAAATTTAAAATATATTCTCGATCCTTTCAGAAACATTTTTCTGGCTATTTTACGTAGATGGTGCAATTTTTTATATTAAAAAAAAACGAAATTAGCTATGTAGGAGTCGAATTTCAAAAAACTAGCTCGTAATTGTCACTGGACACATTTTGTTTTTAATTTTGGAACAAAATCTATGGAGCTCAAAAATTGGAGGCCTTTTGGACTATTTTGAACATTTTAAGCGTCTGCAGGGCAGACGAACAATAAACAATTAATTTTTTTGTACTAATTATTCGTTTTTAGATATATATAATGGATCTGTAATATATGAAAAGTCTCAACTCCAATAGTCCGCGACTTTTAAAACTCATAGTAGTTTTAAAACTTCCATTAAGGGGTAACAGAATGCCGCTAATTTTCCAAATTTTTGAACAAATTTCCTGCTGAAAGTTATCGATATTTTTACCAATCAAAACACATTAATCTCCAAGGAATGAAGATAAAGATCAATGTGTTGTGGGTTTGAAAAATATTAATAACTTTGAGCAGGAAATTTGTTCGAAAATTTCAAGGAAACGACGGCCTTCCGTTACCCCTTAAGTCCTAAAATATTTGACCGAATTGTACACCAAAATTAATTTAAATTATTATTCTTTACCCCGATTGTACCAAATTCATCTTCTTTATTCTTTGAAAAGTAGAGTATTAATGCGGAGTATTAATGCGGAGAGTATTAATCCGAATTTCAAGGTATACCGGAGCTGGAATTGCCCCCCATTGAACCCTTGACGATTCCTCGATTGGGAATGGAAAACGGACAAGGCGCTGTTCGAGTAAGTGCTTTGTTCTCAAACATCACGGCAATCGGACCCGGAAATTACACGGTTGGACGGGTCCGGGTGGATCTACGAAACCTGCGGCTTGACCTACATCTCACCATCCCCAAGATCGAGCTCCAAGGACACTACGAGGTCGCCGGGAATGTACTACTGTTTCCAATTCAGAGTCAGGGTAACTTCTGGGCGTTATTCGGTCAGTTTCATTCACTCTTTTCTTTATAGTTATCAATAAGAAGAAATGAGACAAGTTGAAGTACTCTACTGGATCGAGGACACTGAATATTTTATATGAATAACGAATTTGGCAGTCACGGATGTACACGGAGAGAAATATTCAATAAAAATTACCAGAAAAAAGACGTAAAAATTACGTTTCGAAACGTAATCTGGGAGCGAAGTAAAATTCAATAAAAAGTGTCAATCGTCACGTAAATTCTACGATCTGTTCCGTAAAAATTACTCATCCGTCCGACGCCTCACGGCTAGCCATGAGTCACCGTGAGGGGGAGATTTTAACAACACGTTCCGTAATTTTTCCGGAACTTTTCGTAAAAATTCTTAAACATCCAAGAATTTTCATGTTCTGAGGCATAATAAGTCTTGAAGTTTCTGTTAGATTTTACAACTTCCAGAAAAATTACGTGACTTTTTCGTATTTTTTCGGTGACAGACCCGAAAATTTACTAAACGTTACAGATTTATTCTCTTATATTCCTATAGAAATTCTCTGAAAACGATTCTCGCTTGCGGATTACGTGAAATGTTCCGTAATTTTTCTTGAATATTTCTCTCCGTGTGGCACATTTCACCAATTATGGAATGATCATTGGGCTTCAAATCTTCAATTATTTCCAATATTCAACGACATATCAGAGGTATACACTGTTAAAAAATTTTGTCTGAAATTTCCGGTACAGTTTTTGGAAATTTTTATCGAATTGAATTACCACTGAAATTTCAAGGAATTTCGTCATTGAAAATTCAGAATTCCATGGAAAAATCAAAGAGAACTGCAAATTTCAAACAAGTTTTCTCAAATGTGTATTTGTTAACTATTAACGAATGAACATTTGGTGAGACCGAATAGACCCTCGTCTCCAACCAAATCTATTCGTTAGCAATAACTAATCCTTTCTATCAGTGTTTTCTTGAATTTTCAGGGCAGTGACACTGAATGGAATTAGGGGGAAAAATCATGAAATTTCATGTCTCACTGAAAATTTAATGTAATTTGGCATTGAATATTCATATTAGATTGGAAATTCAAATAAATTAAGGAAATCTCGTCTTCATGCTCCTTAAAATTCTGAAATTTTACTGAATTTTCAGTGAAACTTGAAATTTCATGATTTTTTCCCCCTAAATCGCATTCAGTGTCACTGTCCTGAAAATTAGTAGTCAACTGTCCATGAAATTTCATTTTTTTCTAACAGTGCAGAAAGGAAGTTTGTCCTGAATTTTTTTATCTTGAATTCAAAGAGGACGGGAGATATCGGCAATTGATTTTTTTTTCAATAAATTTATTTCCGACATAGGTTTTTTGTGCAAAAAAAATCTAAATTTTACACAAAAAAAAATTATTCTCTGTCCAACACTTCTCCTCCAAACGAAGAATCCAGTTTGATGTTTTCAAAATCAATTTTTTCAGTTTTCCACCCTTAAAAATGGTATTTCACTTTTTTTTCTAAGTACAGAAAATTTTAGGTCCAAATAGACATACTAATAAATCAACGAAGCGAAAAAAATGAATTGAAGAAGAAAACACAAAAAAAAAGAAATTCATAGAAAAATAACGCAAAAAATTGCATTTGAAATTTACAGTTGCATACACGCTAGTATAAAAGCCCACACAGAAAAATTTATATTTTTAAAAATATATTTAAAAATATCTCAAATTGTTCCAGTTTATATTAAAAAAATATATACATTATATGTTTTATAGATTTTTTTATATATTCTTTATAAATCTGACAAATATATGGAATTGGCCCATCATATATATTTTTTTACATATTTTTTTATGAGGGAGTGGAATTTTGTATTAATTGATTATTAGTTTTTTGAATTCATTATTCTCCGCTTGTCAGTACCCATTTCGAGCTAAAAGCCTGTACTTTACGAAAAGCAAAATGAAGATCACTATTCTTTACCAATCAATGTTCCCTCTACAAAAAAGATCTCATTACATTTCTCTCTCAACCTAAGTCTTTGAGATAATCACAAAAAAGCTAAAACTAAATTGTGAATTCTTGAAACAGGTGATGTAGAAGCAATCGCTCGGGTCCAAGGTGTGGAGGAGGTACGTGAGGGTGTGCGTTACATGAGAATTGCTCGTCTCCTCGTGGACTTCAGTCTCGGACGTGCACGTTTTCGTGTGGTTGACCAGCTGAATGGTAATAATGTAATTGGTCAAGCAATGAATCAATTTTTAAATCAAAATGCCAAGGAAATTATCGAGGAAATGAGACCAGCAGCTAGTGCCAGTATTGCAAAACACTTCATGTCATTTTTAAACACGGCATTTACCAAAGTACCACTCAAGGTCTGGCTGCATGACACGTGAATATCCGACTCTCATATTTTATTGTTCTCATAAATTTATTCGACTGTAAATTTATAGCTAGAATAGTCCTCGTAAGTCTGTGAATATTTGTGTCTGTTATATTTTTCATCATACATATCTGTATTACTTATTGTACTTAATTAACTTATAAATTCTAGAAAATGTTTCCCCCATTTGTACAAAATAAATTTTCACTTGAATTGTATTTGTAATTAAGGAATGTTGAAATTTTGTATTACAAATAAACAATTAAAAAATGCATAAATGGTTTCAAATTCATTACGACATGAACGATTGAAGCATCGCACTCACGTTTTATTTGACCGCAGGGAGTGAAAGTATTCAGCAATTTTCGTGTTTCTTCAGTTCTATGAGTTGCGTTGCGTTTACATTATCTCGAGAAATAATTTTCAATTTTTTTCGCCAAAGTTTTTTATCCCACAGAGAAGAATTTCATCGAGACCACATTCCTTCGCTACATTACGTAACGTGAGATAACTCATGAGACATTCGAGAGTCTTCCCATTCAATGAATTTTTCGTAAATTTGAGAAAGAAAGTGGTTGACAAGACGTATTAACCCGAGTCAAATATAAACGAAGTGATAAATGAATGAGTCTACCCGAGTGTCGTGTTTTCGTATCACACGAACTTCGACCCGTGACCGTTTGTCAAACAAAATAGAAGGGGTAGAAGGAGCTGAGACGTGTTCTAATCTTTTGTATTGACATGATGACAGCCCTTAACGTTTCAGTCGGTTTGTAAAGTCACTCGTGATCGTGCTGACAGTTGATCCTAATTTGTGGTGTAGTCAATACGTCATTCTGAGTCGCGATAATTAGGCAATTGAACAGTTATCGAGTGAAACTAAAGAGAATTAGATTTAATTTGTTGTCGAGATGATGGTTCAGTTTACAAAACGACAGTGGCTGACTCTCATTGTCATCAGTATCGCGGATTTTGCTAATGCTGTCTGTGTGTCGCTACAGGCACCGTTCTATCCCCAGGAGGTAAACAATAGCTGACGAATTTATAGGATGTGTACACTGTTAGAAAAAAAATTAAATTTTATGGACAGTCGACTACTCATTTTCAGGACAGTGACACTAAATGCGATTTAGGGGGAAAAAAATTATGAAATTTCAGGTTTCGCTGAAAATTCAGTAAAATTCCAAAATTTTAAGCAGCGTAAAGAGCAGAATTCCTCAATTTATTTGAATTTCCAATCTAATACGAATATTCAGTGCCAAATTGCACTGAATTTTCAGTGATATCTGAAATTTCATAATTTCTTTGCCCGTAAATCGCATTCAGTGTCACTGTCCTGAAAATTCAAGAATATATGTACCAGAATTTTCTGGTTTTCCATTCATTTTCAGGGAAAAATGGAACGGAAATTTACAGTTCTGTTTGATTTTTCTACGAAATTCTGAATTTTCAATGACAAGGTCTCCTGAAATTTCAGTGGAATTTGAACACGATAAAAATTTCCGGAAGTTGGCACGAGAAATTCAGACGAAAATTTTTCACAGTGTACATCATTGGGGAAATGTGAAAATACAGTTCTTTTCCGCTCTTTCGGTTTTTCACGAAGGAATTCCTTCTGCAAATAATAAACATACCGTGAAATAATGCTGACAGGGAGTAACTATACTATTCCACATCCATCGGTCTACTAAGTGAATAAACTCAACGTTCAACGATGATCAACTTCGTTAATGGTGTTTTTTCGATTCTTCACCATATTCTGTTACATTTTTTTACAAAATGTAATGGATTTAATTCAATTACAGAGATACAATACTTCTCTAAATAAAGAATATATAATCATGTTTTTCACCTAAAATTTTTGAGATTTTGAGTAATGAGAACTGGAAAGAAATTCCATAAAAAATTACAAAAAAAAGAACTTCGTTTTGTCTTTTTCGAGGACACCACTTACAATGTTTAATCTACAAACGTTTTAGAATAAAATGGAAAATTACGATTTTTCTTCTGTGAAATAACAAATTTGGTACCCGAATTTGGTTACTATAATATCTTTCATGAAATGTCAAAATTTTTTAACAGTGCATTCTTAGGATTTTTTGTTTTTTTTTTGTTTCTAAATAAAAGCATTTTATTCATCAAATCCGGAATTTCCAATTTTTGTGTCAAAATAACTAATTTTGACCTCAGGAGTTCGGATGCGCTATTTTTAGATCATGTCCGGATGTATGTATGTATGTATGTATGTCATGCGTCTATGTGATCGATAAATGAATCCAATTGCGATTCAAAATATTCTTCCCAATGCCATCTAGACTGATTTCGACGATGATGACATTAATTGTATCTGTTGGTGATAAAATTCGTTTTGAAACCACTATTCAGAAAAAGGTAAAAAACTTTATCGTTTGCCCAATCTTGAATTCCATGAATTATTCAATTCAATTGACAATATATCGTCGCAAACCCGTTTGTGTGGCGCACTTGGCAGCAGCATCAGCTTCACAACCTCAAGCTCCCAGATTCGAGCCCCGGCCGGGGCAAAATTCCACACCAATTTTTCATCACAAATTTCCACATAATATTCATCTCAAAATTTAACACAATTCTCAAACCGAATATTCCACTGATTTTCCAAGTGAAAAAAACCCACTCCACATTCAACATTCCCTGGCTGAAGACCCTCGGGCGATGGCCACATTGGCAAGTTAACCCTTGCAACGAAAAACCGGTGAAATTTTTACAATATAAGGTAAACTGCCCAGTAGATAGACGTCTAGGAAAACCGCCCAGAGATGGACGATTGTTTTTTAGCAATTGAAAAAAAAATCGATCGAAAAAAAATCGTCACTCAGGGGTTAAGAATTACAACAGTTAGTGAAAATTCAAAGCAACAATTCACATTTCAGTATTTTTTTGCGTAATTTCCTGTCCAAAAGTAGCTCGTCCATCTATAGGGCAGTGTCCATCTACTGGGTAGCTTACCCTATCGTCGTAGAAATTCCATTCAGAAGCAAATTGCTAATTTAATAGCAAAAATATGTTGATTATGTTGTGACGAAAGCAATTTTCAACTTGTTAAAAAATAATTGAACTGAAATTAAAAGTTTTCATTAATTTGCTGATCGCATTATTATAAAATCAATGGAATGTGTATTTCAATAACGAGATTTCGTGTAATCTCAGTGGCAATGTCACTTGATAAAAATTCTGGGAACTCGGCGCGAAATATTCAGACGAAGATTTACAACAGCGCGCAACCCATTGATGGAGAAGAACATAATCAAAAATGTTAATGACCTTAGACGTCGTAGTAAACTTTACCGTCTTCGGTAATGTATCTCAATGTGATAAAATTATTAAATGAACCGAAAGCATGACATTTGACCTTCATCTTAGCATTCGCAAATACTCCACGATTTGTAGTATTTCATCATTCAATGGACGAAAAAATAAATATAATGCGGAATAGTTCCACTATAACGTCTAAGCATATCGCTTAATGATAGCGAATTTTTTTATCACGCTTCCATAATTAGTGTAGTAAACTAGATATTAAGGTAAAATTTTAATTAAAATTATCACTCTAATCACAGTTCACTATAATCAAATCATTATTACATAATCATTTTTTGCAGTTTTATAATTAAGTTTTAAATTAAGTGTTAAATGGATTGTTATTACGGATATTATTCAAGTAGTTCAAGTATTTTTTTCTGGCGGAAATTCGCTTCAGAGCTTATAGAATAGACCAAGAGTATTTTTTAGGTGCAATATCAATTTTAGTTTGCGAACATTTTTTCGAGAAAACGGTTTTCGAACAAATGAAATTTAAGAAGAGACTACTATGAATTTTAAAAGTCGCAGGCTGTTGCAATGAGATTTCTTATACATTGAAGCTCCATCATGTATGTCTAAAAACGAATAATTAGTGCCAAAAAACTAATTGTTTATTGTTTGTTTACCCCACAAATGCTTAAAATGTTAAAAATAGTTCGAGGCTTCCAATTTTTGAGCTACAGCGGTTTTTTTTTCAAAATTTTTGACAAAATGGGTATAATATCAATTATAAATTAGTTTTTTTTAATTCAATTCCTACAGAGCTAATTTCGTTATTATTGTAATAAAAAATTGCACCATTCATGTAAAGTAGCTCGAAACATATTTCTGAAAGAATCGAAATATTTTTTAAATATTTTACGGATAATTTTTCTGACCATTTTACACGAATGGCGCAAATTTTTTATATTAAACAAAACGAAATCAGCTGTGTAGGAGTCGAATTACAAAAAACTAATTCGTGATTGATATTGTACCCATTTTGTCAAAAATTTTGAAAAAAAAACCTCTGTAATTCAAATATTCGAAACCCTGGATTATTTTTAACATTTTGAGCATCTGTGAAGTAAACGAACGATAAACAATTTATAAACAATTAATTTTTAGCATTAATTATTCGTTTTTAGACATATACAGGGTGTCCCAAGATGATTTGTACGGCTAAATAATTAGCTAAAAAGTAGTAAAACGCGAAAATGTTTCAGACCAAAGTTATAGGGCTTCAAGGGGGTAAAGTAATGAGCAGCATATTTTGAGCATAAGTATTTATGTTTCTATGCTACAAGCATACGTTCATTTTTTTTAATGGAATCAACAATTTTCGTCTTACAAAAGTTGTTGTACTCGGCGAGACGAATACAATGGTATCACACATGAAGTATTTTTTTATGTTCTTGGGCTAATGTTACAAAAAATTAAGAACAATGAAACAAAAGTCCTAACGCGTGTGTGTGTGTCTGTGATTTCAATACACGAATAATGCATGACCACACACTCACTCTGTACTGAATAATACTGATGAATGCACGCTATCTGAAAAGGCTCATCATTTCACAACTAAGACAATAATAATCCTTTGTTGACAAAAACATTCTAAACTCATTTAACTTTCTTTACCTAGGCGGACTTTCAAATCAAAATGGACTGATTAGTGCCCGATTCGATAGATCATCGTACAACTTATTCATTTTTTTTGAATATTAGCCCGAAAACATGAAAAAATACTTCATGTATGATACCATTGTATTCGTCTCACCAAGGCCAACAACTTTTGTAAGAGAAAAATTGTTGGTCCCATTTAAAAGAAATAAACTTATGCTTGTAGCATAGAAGCATAAACACTTATGCTCAAAATACGCTTCTCATTACTTTTCTCCCTCGATGCCCTATAACTTTGGTCTGAAACCTTTTCGCGTTTAACCACTTTATAGCTAGTTATTTAGCCGTACAAGTCATCTTGGGACACCCTGTATAATCGATCGTCAATGCATGAAAAATCTCACTCCAATATCTCACTACTTTTAAACCTACTAGTCTCCCCTTAACACATTTCGTCCATAAGAGTTGTATACTCTCACCCTCAATCCGGTATTTCATAGCCTTAAAGCCTTTTTTCGTACATAAAACCATATATGACTTCGTTATACCTACTCTCTAGTTTATTTCCGACATTAAAAAACATAAGTTTCCGGACAGATGATTGCAAACAATCAAATTAAAAGCTTCTTGATTGGCACGACGAACATATTGGGCGGTTTGAATTCTCGCGTTCCCGATGTCTGGCAACGGTTCGGTCAAGTGACTACTTGGACCGAATTTACAAGGTTATATGGAACACATGTGCAGTGTTGCCGTATGGTTATTAGAGATTAGACCGAGAGTCAAGTGTGAAATTCAATGATATATTGTTCACAATATTCATTGGAGAAATTCCCAAAAAAATGTATTCAACAATTAATAATCCGAAAAAGTATGGGGACAGCTAAATTTTCGACAAAACTGAAATCCTGCTTCAAAAAAAGTTTCTAACTTGAACGAAGTATTTGAATATCCTGAATGAATTACTAATTATGTCTGAGACACAACTACAGGCGTACTGGTAAGATTCTAGCTTTTGAGTTCCATATAACATAATGGTGGGGGAATAGGAACCGAAGGCTACAATCTCTCCAGTGCGACTTTAGGATCTTCGAGCGGACACCAAGCTCTTCATTATCGTTACACGCTCATGGGTATTTTGTCTTTAACTGTGCATGCGTTGCAATGATGTTATTGTTTGGGAAATCGCACATTCCAGAATAGCATTAACAGCAGACTAAAATTACAGTGCTAGCAGGCCGTATCAACTTGGTGTCTGCTGCAGCAGGAGACAAAGTTTTAGGTTTTCGAGATGCATCTCTGATGTTTATGGACCCGTGATTTGAAATTTAACACATGAAAAATCCCTAGAATCCAGTGATTCTGCACTAATATTTAGTACGAATAATTCTGAAAATTGAACAGACAACTTTTGATTTTTCCACGTATTCGTAATAACCCTAAATTGGGCACTCTATGAGGGAAAGCCCGCCACGCGTCGTTTTTCTTTAATTACAATTGATTGGCTAACTGGAAAAATTGAAAAAAAATTGACTTTGTCAATTGAAGTATCTAAAAAATTATAGTAGTTTTTGGAACAATATATTTCTCAAAATGCCTAAAGAAAATAAATTATTTCGAACAGATGAATTATTTTTTCCCATGTTAAGGTACTTCCTTAGTGAGTTATACTTGGTGAAAATTTCGCAATGAACTGAAGACCTAAAATTTGGATCATATGTTGTTGAGGACATATGAAAACGATTCCCAAAATTTCAAGTATTTTTTCCACGCGAATTTTTTAGATATCCATCGTCAAACATTTAATTTTTGTCTTTTTAAAATTTTTGTCAATATTCACCAGCAGCATTGATACAAACTTCAACACTGACGAGCCAGCATGCTCCCCCGATGTTATTTTACCCACCTGTTTCCTGCCTTTGGTAGCAATGATTTTCCCTACATGTTTAGGTACAGCAGAGACCCCCATTTGATCAACGTTGTAGATTGGATTCGGTGAAAAATTGTCTTGTTGCAACAGATTGAACCAAAATTCGAAAAGTTGTTGACAACAATCTTATTGAATCCTATGGCTCGGTGTAGCGAAGTCTTTTCAGGTTTTCTGAAACTCATTTCTTTATCGATCGTAGCTTGAATGGCATTGGCCATTCTCAGTGTGGGCAATGACCGTCGATTTGTTGTTCTTTGGTAAACAGTTACCATTATTTTACCAACTCTTTCATTACTGATAGTTTTCGTCACTACTTATCAACTCACTGTGACGTTCGAATAACTCACTAACGGAAAAGAGATTCGATGAGGAATATGCAATCACTTTGTTCGACCGAGTGGCAATTGTTTATTAGTTACACCGATTTTTTTTGTTTACTGAATCGCTTTACAGTCGAATTTGAATGGTGAATTGAAGTAAACAACGGATGGGATAATTTCCAATCAGAATCGACTCGTGGTGCCCTCTGGAGACACTATGCGACAACTTTCATATTTTATGTAAATTTCTCTAGAATTGTTATTGATATGAGGAAATTGGAAGATATTCGGAGATATTAATAATAAATTTAAGCTATCATTTATGAAATAGAAGTTTGAAAGATTTTTTTTTTCCATCACCAAAATTCCCCCATTTTGCTTTTTGTGTTTGCATTTGATTGACGCAGCTTGTATCATGGTTAGATCATTTTTCGACTCAAAATACTTGCATTTTATATTAAAAATAACGATGATTAACCGGTACTTTGAAATGGTGCCTCATTTTGCTCTACCTTTTCCTATAACTCACTGAGGAAGTACCTTATATGAAATTGCCCATGACGCAACGTTGCCGGAAACTCGTTTAACGTGCCCGGGCAGTGTATAGTGAATTCGGCAACGCTAAAGCCGAAATAACACGGTGGCGAATCCCCGCGGAGGGGACCAAGTCGCAGGGTTGCATTCGGTGACCAGACTAGGGTCAAATTTTGAAAAAAAAATTGTAGCGAAGCTACTTATATTTATTTTGCATTATTTCAATCTATTGTATTCGAGCTCGCCTTAGCAGCCGAATACCTTATTACGTCACCTCGCGACAATTCGTAATAATTCGGACATCTTCGATCGGAGGATTAATACCGTTGTCACGGAAGTACACTCTCGTTCCAGCTCTCATGGTGTAAACTAAAGTTTCGTTTGCTGTGAATAAATTCTAATACGATATATAATAATTCCGAGTGTTATACCCTACAAAATCCTTCGATCCTTACCGAATATCCCACATTTTTCATTAGAATTCAACACCATGTTCCCTTATTTAAAGGATTTATTTCGTTTTAAATAGAATACTTGTGCTTCCTAGAACTAAGGTTCTTCATCCGAAAAAAGTCATTATATGTTAACGGTCAAAGTTGTTCCTTTTACATGGGCTATTGCGGCGGTTGTGGTGAAACCAAAACTAGGTCGCCATTTTCGATTATTAATCACTTAACGTCTACACCTAAAATAAAAACAAGTGGCTAATTACATTTTTTTATAAATGATTATAGTTATTGTTACTAATATCTTAGCAATTTTCTTTCGAACGATTTTTTTAAAATTCTCATTTTACTATTTTCTTCTTCTATTTTTTCATGTCATAGTACTATCATGAGTTGAAATGTCATCGAAATTTTTCGTATTATTTCGTTCTATCAAATGTTTCTACCTTGAGACCTTCTCAATACTCGAATTCGTTTTCAGTCCGGATTTAGTCAGGGTTCAATGAAGTTTTAATCAGTGTATAGCCGGGATTTAATCGGGGTTTATTCAGGATTTAGCCAGAGTTTAACCCACGTTCTGTCAGAATTTAGTCGGGACCATGAATCAACATGAGTTAGTATTCATCGTATACTAAATTTCACGGACTTGGAAGGAAAGTTTGGAACGGAACGAAATAGCGGTTTTTGCGTTTCGTTCCCAGGAACGCTAAGAGAAAGGAAACTCACCTTGGAACGAAACTAGAGTAACATTGCCACTTCAAATACCAGCGCGTAAGAAAAGGGAAATAAAATCGCTACCCGGGCCAAAATAACGACATGAAAATCTTAAAATTGAGTACATTCATAACTTATGGTTTTATTTCCAACGGCAAAATGAAGGTTGTCTATCGGGAATTTTTCCTAAAGAATTGAGTTGATATGAAAAAAAAACTGTGAATATGAACTATCCCATGATTTTGTAACTGATAAAGAAGGTTCATTCTTTGAAAAATTGACGACATTTTTTCGGCTGATTGTTGAAAAATCGATTTTTGGAAAAATATAAATTTTTTCGAATTTATGAAAAATTTATTTTAATTGGTGCCAATGAATCGAGTTTATTCAAGTTTATATTCATGAAAAGAATCATGAAATTCGATTGATCCTTTACATGAAAATTTGGAGATGAAAAATGAAGAAAAAAGACCACATACATACATACACATATACGTACAGGCACCGTTGACGTACAGTCAAGAATTCCAAAAAATGAGAGATGAATTCCTAAAAAATGAAACTTTCCTCCCTCTGTGTTTGACAAAGAAACTGTGCGGAAGCAATAACACATAGAAAACATACTGAATTAATATAGAAAACTACTGAAGAATCCATTGAATTAATCTCTCTCACTGATCTAGGCGGAGAAAAAAGGTGCTTCCCCATCAGAATACGGTCTGGTATTCGGAATATTCGAGTTCGTGGTGTTCATCATCAGCCCCATATATGGACAACACGTAAGAAATTTGGAATGTAAGCAGTTAAGAAACTCAATAATTCCTGAATCAATTTATTGTGAAATTGCAGTTGAATAGAATTGGCCCGAAGGTGCTGTTCAACGGCGGGATCTTGACGACAGGAACATGTGCCATATTCTTCGGATTACTCGACAGAGTTGATGGTCACTATCCTTTCATAATTCTATCTTTCGTGATCAGAATTGTAGAGGCACTTGGCAATGCCGCCTTTCTCACAGCGAGCTTTGCCATCATTGCTAAGGAGTTTCCGGATAATGTGGCTACAACGTTTGCCAGTTTAGAAACATTTTTTGGATTGGGACTGATTGTTGGACCCACCGTTGGTGGCGCTTTATATCAGGTAGGTTCAATATTAATTCGACTATCACACAAAGAATGATGAGTATAAACCAATCCTTACTCAGTAGGGGGCATTTAAGTATTACGTCACACTATTAGGGGGGAAAGGGGGTCTGTTGCTTGTGACGCTCTGTGACGAAAGGGCAAACGCAATTTTGGTTTCGTTCCCTTTTCTTACGAACAAAAAATAAGTTTCATCAGTTCCTCACGTACTTCCAAAGCTTCATAAGGGGGAATTTTGAAATGCTTTGGTGACAACTTAAAAGAGTATATCCAAACTCCACGAAAGTTGTTGAGTCTAGTGAGAAAAAATAACTTTGAAATTTCCAAAACAAAAATTATTCATTATTGATAATTTCTTCCATGAATTATAACTTTGACGAAAGTCACGATAGTATATTTCGTTACGAGTGCGGAAAAGTGTTTTTTGGCTCGTGGGAGGTTTACAACACGAGCCGAAGGCGAGTGATATAATCCCACGAGCCAAAAAACACTTTTCCCACGAGTATCGAACGATATTTTTCATCACAATGTGCGGAAAAGGGACGTTAGGACGCGAAGCGTGCCTAAAAAGTTACTTTTTCGCACAGCGTGATGAAAATTAATTAATTACCTTCTCTCCACGATTATTTTCTTCAACAGTAGTTGCTCGTTTGACTAGGGCATCTTGTATATTTGGATATCCAGAAAGATAAATTATTTATGACAAAATTTGATACTGACGACAATTTTCGTATTAGGTATAAAATTTTCAAAATTTTTTAATTATTTCTTTGGACGTTTTCTACATTTTAATCATTACAGAAATCAATACCGTTGCATAACACTCGGTTCAATTTATTTTTTTCTGCCCGAGAAAAATTTTAGATGATCCCTGGATTAAAATAATCAATTGAACTTCGAAACTGACTCTCTCCCTTGACTGACGATCTATACGGAGAGAAATGCTCACTAAAAATTACAGAAGTCACAATTCACTCACCGATTACGGAATCGACTCAGAAAATTTAAGTGACGGTATCGTAATTTTTCACAGGAGATTCAGACAAAAATTACGGAACGCTCCAGAATAATTCCGTGACAGTTCCGTAAAATTTTTTACAACCAAATTTCGCTCCGGAATTACGGAAAAGATACGTAATTTTTATTGAATATTTCTCTCCGTGTAGTTATCAGGAGTTAGTGAAACTGGTCTAGGGTGTTCGATAGCCGCCACGAACAACTACTCTCCCTCGTTCCGCATAAATCGAACATTTTTCGGGAGCAAAATGCAAATAACATTACTGGTTTGCACAAAAAATAAAATGTTTTTTGCTGAACCATGGTCAGGTTACACGAAGCCCTGTCAATCAAATAAGCCCTAGGGTAAGATAAAATTTATGCTCGAGATGAATTGCATCCTACAGGCCATAGGCTAATTCTTTTAACATTTAACCTGAACAATAATTTTTTATTTAATACTATAATCCCATTTGAGTTAACACTGATTTAACCCTTGAGGCCGGTTGCGAAATAAATCCGCGGAATAAATTTATGTCAGGAGTAATTTTATTGCAAAGTTAGACGATTTTAGCAATTTGCCCTGGGGTGCTTCTATTTAGCCATTCGGTCGTAAATATCGATTAAGTAACTCAAAATTAGTGGCATTACTGGCAAATGGTGATGATACATTAATATACCAGGTTTTTTTTATGAAAAATCGTTGATGAACTTCCGATCAAAATTGATCGGCAGATTATTTGTATTTGTTCCGATTACTCTTGGTAGGAGATGAGAAAAGGCTCGGGGTAGACCGAGGAAGGCTCAGTGCTGGCCAACAGTGGGCCACCCTCGGGCAATTTTGGCCCATTCCTCATATCTTACCAGGGACTTAACTGAGAATATTCTAAACAGGCCTTGATCCATCCGGACCAAAAAAAAAAAACTTTAATCCAACAAAGTTCACGATTCTTAAGATCCTAACAATATCGTCATATCGGCTTGGTGCACTGAGAGAAAAATCTGAAGTTCGAGTTACAATAAGAAAATAGTTGAGGCAGTTTTAGTGAACGATACAATTTTTTTTGTATGCAGCACATAACATTATAGTAACTTCACAAGCGTAATTTTTGCAAATCAAAATGGAGTTAAACTAATCAAAGTTCAAAAGTAACCACGACAAATCTATCGTGAGTAGAACTATAAAATAGTAGCAATGACTGCATTCCATTATAGTAATCACTTCTCCGGCCATAGTTACCGTAATCCATGAGAAATTGTTGAGGACTTTTTGACTACAGTTCGATGGTGATGGAATATAGTCAGAAGAATCATATTTTTCTCTCAGTGTGTAACCGGGCTTTAAACTAAGGTCTGGTTGCACTAAACCCTATTAGCCAAATATTGTCGGAATAAATTTATGCCCAAAGTCAATTTAATCCACATTTAGAGCATTTTAGAAATTCGTCGCAGAGTGCTTCACGTCCGGCTCATTCAGCCGTTCGGTTGTGAATATAGATTGAAATAATGATAATGCATTGATACACCATGTTCTTTGGTCAAATAACTTCGATGAACCTTCGATCAAAATTGATTGGTAGAGTATTTTTATTTATTTCGATTCGTAACTGAGTTTTTTTAATGGGCTTGGTGCAATCTAAATTTGGACCTAAATTTGTTTTTGCAACTAAAATTTTTCACCTCAAAACGCTCTCCAACCACTCAGCACGAAATGTGTTATTCTTAATAATTTTCAAACTTGCAATTTTTTGATTCAATCAAGATTTATTTGAGAATATAAATTTTCTCTCCTAGTGTAGAACTGGGTTATTTCATCCCCTAGACCATGAAGAACTTTAAAAAAAAGGGTAAAATATACTAAGTAAGGGTTGATTAACACGCTTGATTTTCTTCATTTTATTTCGCCATTATTGATATACACTGAGAGAAAAATATGATTCTTCTGACTATATTCCATCACCATCGAACTATAGTCAAAAAGTCCTCAACACTTTCTCATGGGGTACGGTAACTATGGCCGGAGAAGTGATTATTACAATGGAATGTAGTCATTGCTACTATTTTATAGTTCTACTCACGATAGCTTTGTCGTGGTTACTTTTGAACTTTGGTTAGTTTAACTGCATTTTGATTTGCAAAAATTACGCTTGTGAAGTTACTATAATGTTATGTACCGCAGATAAAAAAAATCGTATCGTTCACCAAAATAGCCTCAACTATTTTCTTATTGTAAATCGAACTTCAGATTTTTCTCTCAGTGTATGAAGACTAGAAGGAAGAAGATCGAACTGCTATGAGGGCCCCCATTGAAAATGTGGGTGGCGGCGCGAGGGGGAGGGGGAAGGGGGCAAATAAATCGGCAAATAAACTGATTACGATCCACTCACGGACACAAGATTTCGCATGTATCAGTTTATTTGTTGATTCTGCGTTTTAATCCAATTGATTCGTCAATACTCTTGTTTTATTCCGCTATCATTATTTTTCAACGAAATAAACAAATTTTGATAATAATGACGCAGAGGTGTTCTTCGTCTACCAAAACGGAAAATTTCCGTCAAATGTTCAATTAAAAATAATAAAATACATCGCTCTCGCAACTGCTGCTACCTCTACGATTTATTTGAAATTTTCGATTTAGGCCCCATATCCTCCGTACACAGTTCGACCTCCTTCCCTCTATTCTTCATGTATTCATATTATTGACTGTTTTGGAAGGTGGGTGGATATACTACGCCGTTTGCCGTCCTAGGATCAGCTCTATTTTTAGCAGCTATAATTACAGCATTTGTATTACCAGTTCATGATAACGCACCGGTGGATGATCCTAAATCTGGAGGTAATTCTCAAAGTGATGTAAATATTCCATTATTGTGATATTTTATTATTTTACAACTGATTTGGCGGGAAAACTAGTGATGCCGCGAGACATTTTACAAGACAATACTTTGGAGGTATTGTCTCGAATTCAGTGAACACGGAAATTTTTAGTTCGTCTCAGTCTTGAAATGTAGCAGTATTGACTCCTCGCGTGATGACGCCGAGTCAATTTATCTCATCTCGGTTTCCAGTTTTTCGCGTTTTTTATATGTAGAAAACCGTGACGAAACAAATCGAGATTTTACATTAACCCTAGACTGGTCACCATGCGAGGGAATTGCCGTAACACGTCGTTTTATTCACCTTGTCCTCAACTGGTTGACCGGAAAAATTTGAGAAAAATTGAATTCGTCAATTGAAGTATCTGGAAAATTCTAGTATTTTTTTTTTCAATATTGTATCCTTAATTCTGGGAGAAAAAAAATTATTTCCAGCAGGTGAACAATTTTTTCCCGTGTTAAATGAAATTGCCTGTTGCGCGACGTTGCTGGGAACTCGCTAAACGCGCCCGGGAAGTGTAGAGTGGATTCGGCAACGCTGGAGCCTAAGTAACACGGCGGCATTCTCCCGCGAAGGTGACTAAAGTCGCATTTTCCCGTCTAGTGACCAGACTACACGGAGAAAAAAATACATCGTAATTTTGTGAGAATCCTTCCAAAAATTAGTGTGCTGTTCACCAACGCTGGGACATAACAGGGAGTCATCGGAGAATTCGCATGTGGCACACTAATTTTTACGGGAATCCCCCGAAAAAGTGGCCGGAGTCCCACCAAAAATTAGGGTGCCACTTATGAATTTTTCGATGACCCCATGTTATGCCCCGGCGTTGGGGGACAGCACACTAAGTTTTGGGAGATTTTTTTCTCAGTGTAGGGTTAAAAAGCACGAAAAACTTGAAACCGAGATGAGATAAATTGACTCAAAATCATCACGAGAGAAGTCGATACTGTGTAATTCGAGACTGAGACGAGAGCAAAGATTTTAATGTTCATTGAGACCGAGATCATCTTTCCAAAGTTTTGTCTCGTAAAGTGTCTTACGCCGGTATCACTAGGGAAAAGTGTGAAAAAACAAATAACAATAGTCATCTTTCAGGATTCACTAAGGTTCTTAAGATCCCAGGTGTAATGGTAGCCACAGCCTCAATAATAGCAACAAGTATGAGCATCGGATTTCTCCAGGCAACTCTCGAGCCTCATTTACGAGTATTTAATCTGAGTCCAGTTGTTCTTGGTCTAATGTTTGTGATAAACGGTGGAATCTACGCTCTCACGGCACCTGCGTGGGGCTGGCTGTGCGATAGAAAGTGCACGCCGAAGGTAATCATCATCAGCAATCGATCAGAGAAATTCCTGTAATTTGTTTCATTTATTTTCGTAAATTTAATTATCATTCACCTATTTTCTAGATTGTAACAGTAGCAGGCTGTCAACTCATAATGGCTGGCTTCAGTTTAATTGGGCCTGCTCCATTTATTCCTTCAGAAACAAAAATCTGGTTAACGATTGTCGGCCTTGTTATCCACGGATTGGGGATGGCTGCTCAATTGGTAGCAAGTTTCAGTGATGCTTTGAATACATCAATGTAAGTTTCTACTTTACGATCGTCAAATACAGTCCCTTTTCTATCTATCCAACTGCAGAATTTGAACTGTCGATATAACTATTTTTGAAAATAATTCTGCAATTCATATTATTTTTTCAGAGCTCATGGTTTTCCGAATAATCTCGAAACATATGGCTTGATAAGTGGTTTATGGACAAGTGCTTTTGCATTAGGTGCCTTCATCGGTCCCAGTATAGCAGGAATTCTCTTGAACAACATTGGATTCCGAGAAGCCTCAATGTTCATTATCGTCTTGCATTTATTAGTGGTAAGATAAAGCCGGGAATGAAGATGCGAAATGTACCCGAAAAGAAAGTCATGATATGAGAAGTTCTTGATTCGATTTTAGTAGGTTTTCTATATGAGGTATTCCACGTGAAATTAGTCAATCGATGACCCTCACCTTCTTGGAAATTAATGGCGATTTTTTCTACAATCGGGGAGGTTGAAAAACTATCTCTCAAATTTTTTCAGATTTTTTCGGCAGCCCAGTTCGGAGATGTGATTTTTTTCACATTTTTCCGTTTTTTCCAATAACTCGAGTTCTATTTGTCCAATTTTGAGTTAATAAGCGTCAAAATTTTACATTTTTTACCGCCTATACGACTATTTTTAGTAATTTTTTTTTCGATTCCTAGATGCTCATAATAACAAATTTTCGAAAAAAAAGTTGAAAAATTTGAATTTTGAAAATTACACCACGGTTGATATTCAAAATTTTTTTTTCAGTAATTCTCATAATCAAAACAAGTATTTTGAGCTGTCATTCAAGTTGGGCATCCTCCTGGATCTATGTTATTTTTAATTTTTTCTTTTGGAAATTTTGCAAATTTGGTCAAAACATCAAAAAACGACATCGACTATGTATCGAAAAAATATTCACTTCATACTGTCTATAATCAAAGTCAATCAACGCCATTTTGAGGTGTTGCGACCAAATTTACGGAATTTTGAAGCGAAAAAATTGAAAATAAAATAGATTCAGGACGATGCCCAACTTGTATGATGTCTTAAAATACTTGTTTTGATTATAGGAATTACTGAAAAAGAATTAAACAAATCATCCGTGACGTAATTTGCAAAATTCAAGTTATTCAACTTTTTTATTCGAAAAGTCCTTATTATGCGCATCTAGAGATCGAAAAAAAAAGTTTCACTAAAAATATTCTTATAGGCAGTAAAAAATGAAAAATTTCGACGTTTAATAAATCAAAATCGGATGGATAGAACTCGAGTTATTGAAAAAAAACGGAAAAACGAAACAAAAATCGTATCTCCGAACTGGGCTGTCAAAAAAATCTGGAAAAATTTGAGATATAGTTTTTCATCCTCCCCAATCGTAGAAAAAATCGCCATCAATTTCCAAGAGGGTGAGGGTCAGAGGTTGACTCATTTGGCGTGGAATACCTCAAATGTTTAAGAGGCAATGGAACTTACCATCGGAGTAAAAATTGGATTTCAAGTTTGTTCGTCGTCAGATGACTATTTAGCAAAACTCAAATTCTTACATTATTAATAATGATCTTGGTATCTATAGTGTAAGATTTTGGATTTTGCTAAGTAGTCATCTGATGACGAATAAATTTGGAATCCAATTTTTACTCCGATGGTAAGTTCCATCGCCTCTTAAAATAGTGTGACTATGACTCCACTAATCCAACTTTTGAGCTTGTGAGCCAAAAATTTAGTTGATTCAAGTCGAAAAAATGAATTGAATCAAGTAGGTAATAACGAAAAATCTGCCCGTTTCAAGTAGTAGATAGCGAGGTGATCCAAGTCGAATTGATTCAAGTCCCAGAATCTACTTGAATTAAGTAGGACCTGGTCTCAATCAAGTCGCACAATCTACTTGAATTGAGTTAACCCGAATCAAGTCGCTGAAACTACTTCAATCGAGTCAGTCTCGGTTTGAATCAAGGCGTAGAATCCACTTGAAATAGGTTCAACCCGACCTGAATCAAATTGTAAAATGTATTTCAATTAAGTCATAAAATCTACCTGGATCAGGTCGCAGGACTTACGTGAGTCGCATCACATGGAACCTGAATTAAAGCACAGAATCTACTTGAATTAGGTGGAATCCGACCTAAATCAAGTTGCAGACTCTAATCCAATCCAGTTTCACTCAACTTGAATCAAGTCGCAAAATCTACTTGGATTAAGTCGTAGAAAATACCTGAATCAGATCGCAGAACTTATTTGAGTCAAGTGAGCTCTGACCTGAATTAAAGCACAGAATCAACTTGAATTAGTCCGAACCAGGCCTGAATCAAGTCGCAGACTATTCGAATCAAGGCGGATCTGACCTGAATCCAGTCACAAAATCTATCTGAATCAAGTTGCTATACCGATTTGCTCATTTTCGAGTAAGAGTTCATTCAGACCCTCGATCCCGGCATCGAATGAGTTGATCCTTGATATGATTCAGTCCTACTCGTATCAAGCCGGATTCGTTGACTTCATAAAGAAATTTTTTTCGGGTTTCTGTGGAAAGATTCAAGAAACGATCGATTTATTTTTATATAATTATCTCGATTCAAGGGCATTACCGCAGCAGTATTCCTTTTCTGTTGTTCCCGAACTCCAAAACCTTTTACGGAGATCGGTGCAGACGACGAGCTACGCGTAGCCCTGACAGACAGTGGCAGATCACACAGTACGAGTTCATTCATACGTGGCCATCGTCAAGGTGTCCCAATCGATCGTCCGAGTGGCATGAATTCTCTGATTGCATGCAATAGCTATTCAAACCGTGCGGGCGCATGGTCGAGGGCTTCATACAGTGGCCGATTCACTCACAGTTATGGCTCCATCGAGGCCAAACGATACCTAGAGAGGACAACGTGATAGTTCACTCGACAAATGCAAACGTTTTACCTGATTTAGTCATGTAAATTAGAGAATGATCCAAAGACATTTTTATGGCAATTTAGGCATCTCGTGACAATTGTATATATTTGTGTTCTTATTAAGAAGCAGTATCCACATCGTTTGAGTGCAGCAAAATTCTTTGTTGTTTATTGTTTGTTTATTCTTCGTTGTTAATAATAGTCAGATAAATTTGTTTTTAAAATAAAGGCCATCCATTGAGAAACTCAAACCCGGCATCCATGAGAATGAAGAAATTGATATGTCAGGGAAATCGTAAGGTTCATAAGGGCCACTATCATATATGAGGATTATATGAAGGTTACATCAGGTTAATATCGTCGCCGTATAGCCAAAGGGGCGTAACTGCCAACTTTGCGAGATTTTTAAAATTCAAGTTAAATTGAATTTACCCACTTTTTCCAACGTTTTTCACCAATTAATTTTGATAATAACAAATGGGCGTATCTCCATATAATGAGAATAAAAGGGGGGTATCACCAGGACATATGCCCCTTTACTTTTAGTGTCTTGGCTGATATTCTAGTCGACTTAGAGCATGAATAATTTTAAAGGGGTGTAATTCGCAATGGTCAGAATGAAAGGGACGTATCTCCAGCACATGCGCTTGATCAATTGTAGTCTCTTGATTGATATCCTAGGTCACCTGGAGCATGAACAATGGCAAAGGGGCGTAACTCTGCAGTGTAGGTTCTTGTTTTTTCTGCTTGTTGTAATTCATTTTACGATTCCACTAAGGATAACGAATATTCTCTCAGTTCCTCTAGCATTTCTACAGTTAATTAAAAGTACGGAGAGTACGGCTAAATGGACTGGGAGGGCAAAATGGGTCTGCTTCTCCAAGGTGTATGACGGATAATGGCAAAGAGGCGCAAGTGCTGAATTACGCCCCGTTGGTAGAGATTTTATTGTTAATATATTTTTGTTCAGAAATTGAACGAAAAGTCGAAAAATCATTGAAGCAGGATATACGTCCTTCTGGCTTTGAAAAAGAGAATTTTTGCTACTTACGCCCTTTTGTCTATACGGCGACGATATACAAATCATATGGAAATTTTATGAAGATGCTATGGGGATGTAATAAAGGTGCAGGTGGTAAGGGGGTCATATTCCATTCTCATCCTCATAGAATCGGCCCTTATAACCTTGATGGCCCTTATTAGAATAATGAGGTTCTGACCCTCATCACCCTTACGAGCTTCTTAACCATTATCAGATTCCAGATGCTCGTGATCCTTCACGACTTTCGACCCCTATCAGGCTTATGACTCTTCTGACCCTTATGGATGTAAAACGTGAAAGGTTCTGACCCTTGTCAGTTAACCCTTATTAACCTACACTCAAATGTCCCTCGAAAAATCTAGCCTTTCCTGTTAATTATGATCTGTTAATTATGGTTAATAAATTTGTTTTTACAATAAAGTCCATCCATTGAATCGAAATCACTAAAATATTTTTTTCCAATACTCGGAAATTGCATGTCTGTATGCTAAATGTTATTTCACGTAGCCCGCGAAGAATTCCAATGCGTCTATCCCTCCTTACGTGACCCAACTTTCCGTGTACCTAATTACTGATGCAAAAATGTTGCATGAAGAGAAATAAAGAAAATTGACAAATCAAACAAAAGTAAAATTATCAAGAGAAAGACTGAGCAATGTAGAAAATACCTAGCCGAGGTGCATTCCAAACTTCTGACCGTTGTTGCCGGGCAAAATATATAACATTAGAAGATATATATATATATATATATATATACATTGTGTATACATGTGTAAGCGTGTAACGTAACAGTCGAGTATTCTATAATCCGACATGTTCAGCCAAAAGGAACGCCATCCGCTGTAGACGATGGAATCGATGAAATTCTCGAAGGAGTAGCACAAAGGAGAGAATTAAAGAATACATAAATAACAATAATTGGATTTGAGTGAATCCTCCCTTGCGACACAGCGACAACTTTCCATCAGAACGACCAACTTCTTCATGTCCTTGAGACACATCTCAAATCAAATCACGTGTATGCAATGTTATTCGGAATTTGAATCTCCCTCCAATACAATGTATTTCTTGGGATTTCGCCAAGAAGAAAAGTTTTGGTTTTTAACGATATATTCCGAATTTTCAGGTATCCGCAGTTATAAAATTTATCGAGTGAAAAAACACTGGAGTTCAGAGATTTTGACAGAAAATTAGGCGGAAAAGTTATGATTTGCAAAAGCGTTCGCATTAAATTTTTAATAATATTTCAGTGGAATTTAACAGCATTTTCCCTTCCTTCAAGGGATCATTTCGTTTGAAATTAAGTATCCGTACTTCTCGAAATTGAGACCTTTTATTTGAAATGATAAAATCATGATGAGAATAATAATATCGACGAATCTAGAAGCGTTTAAAATAAAAAATCTAAAGAACAATTATCAATTTATAAACAATGGGATTTTTTTTGTGGATTAGACGCCTCAATAACCTCGACGGCCTGGCGCAGTGGGTAAGAGGGTTGCCTCACATGCGAGAGATTTCGGGTTCAATTCCCGGTCGGGTAGAATGGTGATGATCTAACCATTCAAAGTCTTGATCAAGCGGCCGCTACAATAGACCTTGATAGATTTAGGTGCCATAGGGCGCTGTGTGCGCTTAGTCTCTCCATTCTAGAGTTATATGGGTGAAGTCAGGGCGTTATGGACGCCTAGACACCTTACTCTACACTAAAAAATTTGGTGTTAAATTGATACCGATCGTTGTTCCAATGAGTCCACACCGTTTTTGGTGTGAAGTTGCTGTGTTAAAATTACACCATACCATAGGATATCGCATGTAAAATCTGGTGTTAATTCAACACCAGTCGGTGTCCCAGGAGGACCACAATGGATTTTTTACTGTGTAGAATGACTCCTTAATCTTAACCTTAGACCCCTCAATTGGTTTACTCAAAAATAAATTATCAGATTTTTCATGCATTTAGATCACCTATCACTATACGATTTAGTGACGTCTCGACCGAAATTTCGGGAATTTTATCGCAAAACTGAGTGATGAAAATTTCTAATGGTAAAAAGCAAATCTAGGTAGTGCTGAGTAAAACTATAAAAGGCATTCCATTTGAAATTCGTAAACAAATAGCTATTTTCGGCATGAGGTCGAAAAAAACTTTTTGATCTCGAATGCAATTACACGAGTCAGAAAAGTTGTTTCCGATCGAGTGACGAACATAATTTTTCTTCACAATGTTCGTAAACTGGGTTTGACGAACAGTATGATAAAAATTGTCACTATCGAAGCTCTTGATGCTGAATCTCAGGGATTTTCGTTCTAAATTCCAGTGATAAAAATTCCTATTACTAAGTTCGATTCTAGTCAGTGTCAAACATTCCTAAACATTGGAAACAGATTCTTGAAAAATTTTGGTTTTAGGGAAATATCCGTAATCTTTATGAATTAATCCTTAATTTTCAGAAGTCCACCCCTAATTTCCAGGCTTCTCTACACTGAGAGAAATATCGTCATAATATCACAAAACTAATTTCTTGGGCCAAATATCTCATCTCTTGCGGATAAATTTCTTGGAATAAGAATTCCGAATAATGCATCAGACAATATCAGATTTCGGTGAAGTGTTCATGACTTGACCATGAACATTTCATGATAAAGTGAGAATTTCTTGCCACAAGAAATCGGTTTTTTCGTGTCAGAAGATGAAAAAATGACTAAAAACATTAAAAGCTTCGATTCAGTGAATCATGAATCAGAGACTTTCATATTGAATGAATAGAGTGTTTATGCAGAGGAAAACCTCCAGATATTAAAAAAATATAACCGTCGCGTACGCTCAATCGCTTTGAGTTCGAACGAAAGCAATATCTTTTTTCCTTCTGTAAAACTATTCTTGTCTTTCAAGGAAATTTATCTCATTTAGAAAAAAGACATCACCTTTCCATTCAGTAACTTCTTCCTTAGCCCAAAGAGCACCGATTTCTTATCTGACACCTACCATAAATTGATCAGATATGTATGCGATATTTTGCGCTTAAGAAATGATTTTTATGCCACTCATGCCTGAAACCGGCTGGATTACACACTCGACGCTTCGCGTCTCGTGTCTAATTCAGCTGGTTTCAGGCTTCGTGACATAAAATTTTGTTCAGTACTTGTTGGGAAATTTCGTCCTTAACGTGTGTGGTTACATCACTCGCCTTCGGCTCATCCTGTAAACCCCACACACGTTAAAGACGATATTGCCCCACACGTGCTGAAATATACTATTGTGATACACGGAGAGAAATGTACGAGAAAAATTACCGTGCCCGCACAGTAAAGTTGGTTCAGATGGTCTTTCCAGGCCAAATGTACCGCAAAGAGTAGGAAAAAGTACTGTTGCACGAGTCATTTTTCGGATAAATGTGGGGAAAAATTCTTGTGCAGCACGGTAAAATCGAAGCGACAGTGAATTTTTACGAGAAATACGAGAAAAATTATGACACTGACTGGCAAATTTTTCCGGTGCTCTACCAGAATCCTAGGACCCGATCGCGCATTCGTAAGATTTCGGTACTCTTCGTCCCCCCTCCGCAACCACGAACATCGACTCAACGTGACCAGATGATTTATTCCGTCGCCTCCTCTAGCCTCCTCTCTCACATATCTCCTTACTGAAACCCCAGGTTAATGTTTTTCATAATATCAATTCAGTGAAATATTAATTAGTGTTGTGATAAAACGGTTAAGAAATAAAATAAGTGCCCTTTATTTTCGCTTCATGAGGTGTATAACGCTGTAGATATACATTGGCCTGTCAAACGTTCCACATACGTTTGCCGCGCATTCCGCTTTTAATATGGGAGAGAGGATATGGAGGAGAGGTTAAAATAAAATTAATAGGATGATATGCTGAATGACAATGTTTACTCATTTTTAACTATTGAATGAAATTTATCATGTAATAGAAAACAGTCAGGGATCAAGCTTTTATTGTGCGTTACCGGAATTTTTACTATGCAGCACCGGAATTTTTCTGGTGCTAGACAATTGAACCCACTTTACCAGACGGCACGGTAATTTTTGCCTGAATTTCGCCTGAAAAATTCTGGAATTTTTTTCTCCGTGTAGGAAGCCGATTTTTCTCTTACTCCATCCACAATTTTTAGGGATTCTTGTCACAAACTAGAACGACCCGAACTTTTAGGGATGCAATCACTGGAATTTAGGGACAGAATTCCTAAAAAATTGCTGAGATATCCTATTTACTAAAGATGAAAGAAACGTGAAGTTGTTTTATATCGAAATAACTCGAAACTGCCTGCCCGCTAATCCTTAATTTTGATTGATCAATATGTGACACGAAGTTATTCACAAAAAAAAACACGCGGCATTTTCAAATTCTTCAGTGGTAAATTTTTTTTATATATATATTTTTTTTGTATTTTTGTCATATACCGATTATTTTAAAAAATTAAAGATAATTAATTGAAAATGAAAAATTCTTTATAGATTCTTTTACTCTACTGCGCTATTCACTTGAATCATTAGTCGAATTCTCTTTGATTCATTATCAATATTTATAAGGTATTGATGAGAAAATGAAATTACGTGAATTCCACTTCTTCATTTCAACAAACGAATAGATCAGCGCGCGCGAGAGCGTGCGCACATATCTAGTATCTTAAATTCTGGAGTGCTACAGACCTTTAAAAATAAAACTTTTTTTTTCTCTGTGAATTGAACCTGCAACCTTCAGATAACCTGATGCTCTACGAATGAAACTAGCGGAGCTACCGCAACTCATATTACCACACTCACCATCAGATTTATCGTCCTTATATATCATGCCCTCCACACCCCCTTCACGAAGCATTCCAAATAAATCGAAATGTGCTGGAATAGCAACACACTTCAACCGTTGTACTCTCAACTTAGCAGTGCTGGCGTGTTCAGTGATGTGCATCGACCCGCCCGGAAGCTGGCGTATACACTATCCTAGCGTAATACATTGCGACTCAGTGCGTTGATAAAACACGTCTGAGGCCAAATAGGTTCTAGAGTGTTCAGACTCCACAGAACTACAACTTCAACATCACTCATCTTCAATCTCATTTATGATTCTCTAATTCACAATTTTATGTTCATCGTACGAATAATCGTCGAGGTATGTGCAAACATTGGAATTGATCTGACAGTTGCAAAAAAAACATGCCGGTAATTTTCATTCCCCCAAACTGTAAACATTGAGAAAACTAATTTTATGTTACTGCAAACTTGTACTTGAAACCTCGCGGAAAGCGAAACGATGCAAAGACGAAGCTGAATGTTGAAGTAAAAATAAAAATTAACGCTCGTACGTTCACCCGTGCACATCGTTGCCTGTTCAGATTCTATTTCGTTCCACGTAATAACACCCTTAACGAGTAGTCAAAGTGCTCATTTATGAGAGCAACAATTTCATATAGAATAAAAGAGTCAGTAACCTCATTGATAGATGAGAAATTATACATCAAATTGCGCAACGTAACAACCACTCTTATCCAATTTTTCTTCATATCCATTTAAAATGACATAAAGTAGTACCGCAAGTATTTATGAACTGTAATGAAAGTAAACAAACAAGTAAACATATCTATTGTTCTCTTCCCCTCGGGTAATGAATTACCTGTAATTGCTGTGTGAGAATGAGAAAATTATCTGGTTAGAATTTTTTTCTAACGCAAATATGAGTGAATAGTGAATGCAGAGTGAGTGAGGAATAGGAACTTGGACCTGTGGAAGAACAAAGACCATAAATTTTACAATCAAACCGTTACAAAGATTCTGAGGAGTGAGTCACGCGGGTCGTCTACCTGCTGATAACCCGTGCATTGGCCACCACGCACATGGAGGACAAGAGTGAAAATACTCAAAGTTAACACAAACCCATTGAACCATAGTTCATTACACCCACGCAAAATACTATGACAATTGGAAAAATCGACATACCATATGTGTGTTAGTCATGAGTGGAGTATGAAATCATGGCTGTTGCAATAGCGTCATTCGTGTCAAAATAAAACCCGATTAAAGTAGCTCTACCCCTACGGCTAGACTCGTTGAGTGCTTTTGAGAAAAGAAGATTCTAAAAATAATTTTTTTGATATCTAAATTATTAAAATAATTTATAAAGGACGTGAGCATAAGAATTATTTCATTATTAATTGTTTTCAATAAAAGTATGAATAAATAGATTTTCAATTGCCTAGTTTGGAAAAATTAGTGGCATCATTGTAGGATAATGTGACGGGTGAGAGAGGTGAGAGAGGTCCCGCCAAATGACAGCTGACCGAGCCGTCGTTGTCACGTCTGCTACTGTCGACAGTCTCCCGTGATTCTGGTTGGAAATTGTTAATAATAAAAAAAAATAAACGATAAATCCTTATCTGACAGGTGCCAATATTTTTTATTATTTTTTTCTCGTTTTTAGGAAAACAAATTGGATTCTATTGAAAAATTCGATTTGATTTTTGCGCTGTTTCTATGGGATAGTCAATAAGAAAAAGTCAATAGATTTCGAATTTCTGTTTGAATTTTTCTCTTGAGATTTATTCTATAAGAATGCTTGGGCATCAATTTTCGGATTCTGTAATGTAAAACAAAACAAAATCCAGCGGAAACAACTTGGAAAGTTTGTGCCCAATAATTCTAATAGAAACAATCTCAAGAGAAAAATTCAAACAGAAATTTAAAATATATTGACTTTATCCTATCAAATATGCAATAGAATCAGGCGCAAAAAATTAGAATTTTTCAATAGAAATTCTATAGAAACCCTATATTTTCTAGCGAATTCGCTAGGTTTTCTATTGAATTTTGTCATGCGTGCGTTGCTGCGTAATATTTGCTCTTCATTTCTTATATATTTTTGTAGTGTTGTTTAGCTGCAAGTATAGCATTTTCGAGAATATTCCGATTAAGCGTTAATGATGTTAAGAGTTAGCGAAATATTAAACTCATGACAAATTAACAAATGAATTATTATTTTTCTCAAATATCCATTGATTTTACAGCAAACAGTTTACCAATACGGAAATGAAAAAATTGAGGGAGAAATAAATTTTATTTTCTAGGCTGGAAACACCCGAAGTGACAGATTTAAATCATTTGTTGGCGAAGATGGGCGTTTTAATATAAATGGAATGAAATTATGTTTAAAAATTTTTATTAGAAATATTTACGTGTGTTATTATATTTTGTTGATTATTGTAGATTAACAAAATTGGCCCTAAGGAGAAGTGCTTTTCGCACTCGAAATATTGCTCACTAGTTTTTAATTAAATGGTATTAGTTATGGAAAGCGTTTTATTTGATAATGGGAAGCGGTTGAAAAATCATTAATTATGAAAATATTCTTTAAATATATCTCGAATGTTTAGGGATACTCAACGCTGACTAGAATTATCCTTAGCGCCAGGAATTCTTATCATTAAAATTTTGGGATGAAATCTCTAAACTGACGACAGGGATTGTAAATAAACGGAAGACCGGATAATTGATTTTTTTAAAAAGAAGATTAGATTGAGAGGTTCAATCCTGGTCTTTAAATTGTGTATTATTTTTCAAAAATTCTTCTAGATCATTATTATTATTATTATTATCATTATTATTATCTCTTTAACGAAATAATCTTGTGAAATAACAGGAAATACTGTTGAATTTCAGGAAAGAACTATCCAAAGTTTAATGCGAAAACCCCTGAAAATCGAAGTTTTTTTGTCTGATTTGGACTTATTATTCCTTAAAAATTGGAGATATATACACAATAAAAGGTTTGTTACCCAAATACATAATGATTAATTCTTTCGTAATAATAGTCACATCTATTTTAAGATGATTTATAAACAGACTCAAGGCCATGATATTTCGAAAAAAAGAAGATCAAAGGTAAATATTTTTCGTTGAAATCGATCTGCCTCATCATCCGGAAACACCTGTCCGATATTTTCTCGAGGTCATGGATGAGCTAGGGTCGTCGCGCGGCGCAACATAATGGGAAAAAGGGACAGAGTCCCCCGAAAAATTGTTTTGGATCAAGTGCTGCCACCTGCAACTGCTGTTAAAAGTTGTTTTAAACAGGTTTTCAAGGCGGTTATGACTCCCACCAAGCCCTACACGCTGTGCGCGTGCGCGAGTTCTTGGGTTATTCTCTAATTCCAGACTTTATCTTATACCCCTGTATGAAAAATTAATCACTTTCTATGCGTGGAAGAAGAGCAACTCGTTCCAGTTTCATACGTTGAATTATTTATATTGTTTTATGGTTTCTTGTCAAGTGCGTTTGACATTAATTATTCAGTGATTTTTGGAGGTCTGTTTGAAAGGCTTTCCCGCTCTTTTCCCACCACCGCGCACCTTTTTTTACGTGCAGGTAACACCGCCGGAGCTGTCGAGGATATACCGGTCAGTAGTCGGTGGAGCGTCGAGACCGCACATTATTGTATTAGTGTATGGGATTTTTTTTCTTCATTAATTGGATTGTTGTGTGTGATTAACAAGGAGAAACCGTTGCATTTTGTTCTGTGCCGAGTGACATGAATATCTAGTTTATCAAAGGTAAGTCATATTTTGGGAAATCATTGTAAGGACTCAAATCGGGAGAATGACTAATTAAAACAGTCGAGATAGCATCAGTTCTTAAGGTAATGGATTGACACACGAGTCTGAGAGTGGAAATTTCTACTGACATTTGGTGATTTTAATGCCGGGTGAGGAGATGATCTTTTGCACGCGCGGCTTCATTGACATTTAGTTATAATAAAAAGGCCCGAATACCCGAATTAATGAATTCCATAAAATGAATGTTGTTGATTTCCTAATTTACCGTTAAAACGAAATCCTCTAGTTAAATGATTAATTTCAGTGGAAAGTATTTACCATTGAAACATTCTTACTTTTTATTTAATTCTAAACAATTTTCTAATCATCGAATAGTAAATTGCCGCTGAAGACAGTAATACATCAGGGGATTCTAATAGTCGGTTATAAGTTAAAATTGTGATTCCAAGCGTGTCGAAGACAGGAGGAAATGAAAAAGAGCCACAGGTGGAAAGGTTAGGTACAAAAGGATCCGGTGACTGAGGGGTGGTGAGAGGGAGGTGGAAGGAATAGGACGAGACGGTTGATACGTGAGCATCGATATATTCACCCAGGAAAGGATGGCGTGACGTGCATATTACCACTAGCCCATAGATTGCATGTACCTTGTGTACAGCCCCCATGGGTTTTATGTCTTTTGTTTTATTTCTATTTTTTTTTTTCGAGTCCTCTCTTCGAGATGGTTCGAGGGCCATTGCAGAAAGTTAAGAATTGTTTTAGTCCTTTTTGCTGGGCACAATGCAAAGGTAGAGCCCTCCGGGCGCCATGAAGATCCTCGCGAGTTCTTCTCACGATTCCGGTTTCCATTTGCTGAGGACTAGAAAATTTTCTAAATGCATATTCTCGAACAGTTATCATTTTACTAAGACTGTCGTATTTTTTATGGTTTCATTGCACTTAGCGGATGGAATGGGATCCTGAGGTGGATTATATTTGATAAAGTCCAGGGTTTTTATTTTCAGAATAGAGTAGGAGTGGATAGGAATGAATTTATGTTTATAGGAGATGTGGGGGGGGGGCAGTCGTTTTGTTGGATGATGTTATAATAAAGTCGGGGTTTGATTTTGTTGGGGGAAAATGTCGTCAGTATCACTGTGGCAATTTAGAAGTTTTACTTGGGTAAGAGTTGGGCTCAAGTGTCGATGCACCTTTCGAGAGTTCATACTATGCCGCTTGAACAATAGTGCGTGACGTCATTGACTCACACCCTCAGTATTCTTAGTTGAACAACGAGGGGTCTCCTTTTTTGAGTGAATTATAACTGGTTAATTCATGTTGGATCATTCATCATTTATCATGCATTGATGCAACTCATCTTGTTAATGGGCGATACATTCTTTGGAAATTTTTTAGAAGTGACAGCTTCAGTGAAATTCCAAGGCATTTCGGCATTGAAATTTCACAATTTCATGACAAAATCAATCAAGCCTCTGAATTTGTGTTCAATTATTCCATGAAAATTAATAGAAATCAGGACAATTCAGGTAAATATTTTCTTGAATTTTACATTAGTTAAAAATTTAGAACAACTTGGTATTGAATATTCATAGGGAAAAATTTAAGTGAGTTACAGAATTCTCGTCTTTTTGCTGCTCAAAAATTTGGAATTCCATGGAATTTTTAGTTGGATTTGACATTTCATTATTTCTTCCCCCATCCCTCAATGAAATTTAATGTAAATCAATGTAAATCAATGTTTTTCAATCAAGGGAACTGTTCCAGAGGGGAATTTTTTTAGACATAAAGATCTCATCGTAAAATCAATTAGTTCTGAGATGATTGGGTAAGAAGTAGCCGAAATGTCAAATATTCGATTGGTTTTGGTTCATCACTTCGATGAATGGAAATTTAGTCAATTCTTTTCTTCGGAATTCATGATAATTTTGATTTGTGTCATTGTTGGTTAATTCTCGACCCTGTTAAAAAAATGTCGAGATGATTGGGTAAGAAGTAGCCGAAATGTCAAATATTCCATTAATTTTGGTTCATCACTTTGATGAATGGAAATTTAGTCAATTCTCTTCTTAGGAATTCATGATAATTTTTATTTGTGTCATTGTTGGTGAATTCTCCACCCTGTTAAAAAATGGTGTTTTATTGACAGCTAGCGGTAATTTTCAGGAGAGTGGCCTTGAATGTAAAGTTTCGCTGATTAATACCCCATGTGAATGTCAACCAATAGAAATGCAATATCTGACGTTTTGTGGAGGAGTGAAGATAGAATTAGTTCGATAATTTTGGTTAATTCCATTTGAATTTTCAATCAAACCTTGAATATTCAGTACCGAATTACACAGAATCTTCAAATAATCGGAAATTCAAGAACATATTGACCTGAATTTTTCTGATTTCTATCAATGAAATTAACAGTTTCCATTTTTGTCATCAAACTGTGAATTTTCAATGACGAAATTCCATGAAATTTTAATGGGACTGTCACTTAACAAAAATTTCCGAGAAATGTACTGGAATTTTCAGCTAAAAATTTTGAACAGTGTAACCCTTTCTCTAATTTCAAATCACTTTCCAAATTTTTAAGAGAATGGTGTTGATTAATTCTCATATTTGTTCAAGTTGTGAAACATTAAGATACGTTGATTGCACAATGCGATAAAGTTAAATAATCCTAAATTAATTCGGCGCCCAGAAATCTAAACCTTCTTGTGACATTGAGAATTCTCAACGGTAAATTATAAATACCATTGCAGTGAATCAAAGAATAGGTTCTACGAATTTTACGCAATAATATGAATAATGAAAATTATCCACATTATATTATTTCGCATTGTATACCGAAGGGCTTAATGAAAGACCGATACATGCGCTATGGGAGAGATTCGTAAATGTGCACTTTCACCATGTAAAAGTTGGTCTTGTGGAGATGGTTGACTTTCATCATCCAAAAATGTGCCTTGGACCCACTGAAAAGTGGGTCTCGTTAAATACTGGATCGATTTCGCATATTATCTTGGTCGGCGAAGTTTGTAAAGTCAATTGCCTCGAAAAAATGGTTGAGATACTTTTAACCGCATGAACATCATATCACATAAAATTGTAGTGATTGGTTCCTGTGTATTAACGAAATTTTTCATTCATTTTGATTATCCGGAGGCAAGTCAAAATTTTTGGCGCACGAGCTAATTCATAATGGGTTATAAAATTTATAAGTTATAAGTAAGACCGGAGACTTCATTCAGTAAAAGGTCTGGTAACTAAATTGGTAAGCAACCCATGCATAGTTGCCTAACAATTTTGTTATCAGACTTTTATAAGTCATTTATAATTTATAAGTTATAATCATTCTCCAATCCTAATTCATTTCTCAGTCGCAATGAATTATTTAAAGTACAAAGTTGGAATCACCTAGAAGCAGTACATTCATTTCGGAGAGTCGATAGCATCGTTTTATAATGTAATAATGGGCAAAACTTCAGGTGAACATAATTTAATGTGATGCGATGGTTCAAATTAGATATCAGAGGGTAAAACATTCAATTCAGTAGCGAAGTGATAAAATGGTACAAGTCAATTTTGACTATTGACCAGTTTTCAATGAATATCTCGGAATCTAAAGGAGATAGAAAAATTGTTGTTATAACCTCTTTTGTAGAACCGATTGAATGCTACAACAAATGTAATTGCGAAAATTTCGCTATTTCCCTTAGATTTGGAAATATTCCTAAAAAACTCAACTGGGAAATATGTCGTCTTGAACCGTTTTCCCACTTCGCTACTGAATTGTAATTCACTTATATTAATTAGTGCAAAAAATTGGAAATTTTGTTAAATTTTGTTACATAGATCTCAATGTGGACTAACTCTCATTTTCTTAAATTCTTGTACGCACGATAAGTGGAGAAAAAATGAAGATATCAGGTTGAAATTTGGTATGATTATAGCTTTTATAATATTGAAGGTTGTTATTTTGGATGGGCGCAATCGGTCAAGCGGTTCCTGAGATATTTAAACTTTTGTATAAATTCACTTCATTAACGGGTTGAAAATTTTTCTATCGACACAATGTAGCATGTAGTCACGGCTTTATGTCTGTCACAAGGAGAGGGAATTGCTACGGATCCATTCGGAAGCCTACTACCAATGGAGTTAGTAGAAATAAAAAAAAGAAAAAGACTAACAACGCAAAAAGTAACGGTCACATCTCTCCTGTCGGATTCACGGAGAGAAATATTCAATAAAAATTACGTATCTTTTCCGTAATTCCGGAGCGAAATGTGGTTATAGGGAATTTTACGGAACTGTCACGGACTTTTTTTGGAGCGTTCCGTAATTTTTATCTGAATCTCCTGTGAAAAATTACGATACCGTCACTTAAATTTTCTGAGTCGATTCCGTAATCGGTGAGTGAATTGTGAGTTCCGTAATTTTTACTGAACATTTCTCTCAGTGTATAGGCTCCAACCCCTGCTTGTTTTTAAAAGATCTTCAAAATTGAGAAGCTTGGACCCTTCTGGTATCAAGCGTAGTGTTCTGGATAAATGGAAAATAATGAAACAGATATCGAATTGAAGCTATGGTCTTCCGATTTCCAACTTTGTTCATCTGGTCAAGTTATTCTTCACAGATTTGGAGATAATTTTGAAAACAAGCGTTCACATTCGCATTGGTCGATGCGATGTATCAGCAATAGACTTTTTGTCCATAATGAATAATTGCAAGAATATAACAGTAATTATAACAATAAGGAATTGCAAGGCTTTGGAACATCGATGATTTTTCGAAACTTCTATTCGCTGAAATATAAGAATTTCGTCACAATCTTTGCAAACTCACAAAGTTATCAGCACTGATTTGAAAACCAAACGGTTGTTTGATCTTCATCATCATCATCATCATCTGTTTCTCGTGATATTTGTCTCCGTGATTCGTACATGGTTGAGAGAGTTCTCAAATAGACTGAAAAAACCGTGAGGACGAGCCGCGTTTTTTTTCTCTCAATT